AATCACTTGAACTCAGAAGGCGGAGGTGGCAGTGAACCGAGATCATGCCACTGCACTCCAGCCTGGGCAACAAGAGCAAAAAACTCCATCTCAAAAAAAAAAAAAAAAAAAAAAAAAAAGGAATAATGATACAAATATTTTGGAGTAACAAACCTTCAAACAAAACGCTAGCACTGATAAAAATAGGCTTAAATATAACATGACTAAATTGTATAGAAGTCACTTGGTCTAGAGAAGATGATCCTGAATCATACAGAGCTTAATTAACAGAATTAACGAATCACTAGCAATCAATTTTAATAAGGTACTTTTTGATACATAGCAGAAAAGAAAAATGAGGTATAACACTAACACCTACATAGTTAAGGGATATAGTTCATGGACTATTTATAAGAATATGATAGACCATTAGCAATGAAACAGTAGGATATAAAACACATTAGACTGAGGATCATCATCATATTTCATAATCATATATATCTACAGATTTTTCCTCGGAGGAATGATGCATTCTCTAAATATAAAACATTATAGATTCTTATGTCATAGTCATTACTTTTATATATCACTAAGTTAGATTTAGATATATCTGCTCTGTAGACATGCAGAGATAAATAAATGAGATTCTATGTCAAATAACTGGCCAGAATGGCTTCATCCAAATTATTCCAAGAAAAATTGTTAGTTTACAATTTACCGTATGATTTTTACTCTATTGTTTCTACCAGGCCAATTCTACTTAGTGTTTTATATAATTTTGCACAAGGGTTTGGCACACATATCCCACACCACTTAGGAATACAATCTTTTAGTGTGGTCTTTGAAATTAAATCTTGGATGGAATCTCAACTCAGTCACTTCATACATCTGAGACCTTGGTCAAGTTATTTAACTTCTCAGATTTTTTAGTTTTCTCATTCAACAATGGAAACCATTATGACCTACATTACAGGATGGTTCAGAGACGTTTTAATGTATTGCATATAAAATCTTAGTTACAGAGGTTTTCCTGCAGTTAAGGAAAGAACTCCAGAGTAGGAGCCAGAAGATCTGGGTTCAGACCTGGGTTATGCTCCATGAAAGTTTTGTAACTTCATGATATGACATTTGTTAGCCTCAGTGTACCCCTTTCTAAAGTAGAACTGATTGCCAACAATATTGTAGAGTTGCCAACAGGTTTGACAATAAATAATGTGGATGCACTTTGTAAACTGTAAAAGTGTTAACCACAAATTCAAATAAACTTGTTTATGCAAAGCACAGCTGACGTGCATCTCAATGCCTTTGTTATGACCAGCATTCCAATGATTATGTTCTAGACTTACTATATTTACACCAAAAATTTGTTTATTTTTAAGTAGAAATTATGGCTCCCTCCTCTTTATCACATTATCACTAAACCAATAAGAGAAATCCTATAACAATGAATGTCATAGAACTTTTAGAATATTAGAGTTGGAAAGAATGTAAAGTACTACTTTTAGATCATTATTTTTAATGTATAGGAAATTGAGAATTAGAGTCCCACTTACTCAACAGAGCAAGGGAAAGACAAGACCTGAATCAGAAATTCCAGTTTTATGTGACTTTCCACTGCTGTGCTATTTAATTTTTTTTCCTATAAGGCTCTATAGTATGAAATACACCTTAAAAAGTAGAGCACCAATCAGGGCTTAAAAGTTATTTTTTGAAAATGAAAAAAATCTGCAAGATTAATGTACTAAGTAATAGAACTTGACCTGTACTCAGGTGAATTTAATATTTTCTCTAGGGATGACTTGTTTTCCTCCCTCCAGTTAGCTTGCCTTTTAAGCTAATTTTGTTGCAACTGAGGTTACTATTTTCATTTTCCAATTTGTAAGTCCCTTTCCATTTTCCAGATCATTACCATTTAAAATGTTCTGATCATTCTTCTTGAGAGTTCCTGGGGTAATTAAAAGGAGTCCTCCTGATGGGTCCCTGACCTTTGGCAGTACTCTTCAAATGCTAGGACTGCTGCAAGGCACAAAGCCCTTATTTATACCCTTCCATTGCAGAGTTGCATAAGGCATGCTTTTGGTTATTTATTCGACAGAGATTTATTAAATGCCAACACTGTGTCAAGCACTGTGTTCATCACTGCGTTAACTTCTTACTTAGAGAAACAACAATTACAATATGTCCTGATAAGTGCTGTGATAAAAAGTATTTACAGGATTCTGTGTGAGCCCAACACAATAGGGTCAGGCAGGAAGGAATGGCAGCAGAGGAGGGTTACATTTATATGAAACAGCAAGTGTAGATCATAGAGGAGTGTTCAGGATCTATAAAATGTTCCATGTGCCCAAAGAAAGGGTTCATGTCACCCTCACTCAATAAAAGAGTAAATCTTCTTTACTTTATTTCCAAAATATATACTCAAAGTTCATCCAATTCTCTTCCCCAATGCTACTACTGTCATGCATGCTGCCATCATCTCTCATGTGAAATTATTTTCCTAAACCCACTAATTGTTCTCTATGCATTCGTTCTTACTCATTGCAATTTATTTTCTTTTCCCAGCATCTAGCAGTATTAAACAGCAAATCAGATAAGGTTTAAACCTTTCATTGGCTATCTACTGAACTACTTAGATTAAAACTTATAATTCCTTGGCATGACTTACCAGGTCCTTTGATCTAGTACCTACCTACCCCCTCAAGTCCTTACCTAGTGTTTTTCCCTCAGTTATTCTCCATGCTTAGCATTATTAGTCTTTATTCTATTTCTAAGACACAAGTCCCTTCTGTCCCACATAGGGACTTTACACTTATTATGCTCCTTGCCTGGAATGACTTTATCCTAAACATTTGCATAGGTGATAATTTCTTGCTGACCGTGCTGGAGTCACATGACACCTTCTCAATGGATCCCTCTAAAACAATCCGGTCTAATTCTATCTGCTCAGATTATGCCACATCACACTGTCTTCTTTCTTTAAAACAATTAGCACCATGTAAATTTATATATTACTTTGCTTACTAATTGTTTGTTTCACTGTGCTAGAATATAAGTGCTAAGAACAGGGATCTTCATGTTGTCAACATCATTTATCAAATGCCCAGAAAGTACATAGTATAGTAGGTCATCAATAAACACATGCTGGATTAATGACAATGGATATGTAAGTAAGCACTAGATAGAAAAGCCTGGTATATTTCTGGTTATACTAATAAATAGAATGGATCCACAACCAATATTTGGTTTGGATGTTAGGACTGATGATACCACATCTTCACCAAAAGGATATTAAAATGTTTATTAATTACACAATGAGACGTTTGGGGGATAACAGGAAGGGCTTCCCAAGATAGTCTGAAAATGACTTGAAAGATGATGTAAAGGAGACTGGCTTTAGATTTTTATTATGGATACATGTGGAAACACCACAGTGAGTATTTTGGCACATGGACAGGGCTTACATGGTTTAAATCTGTCATTGCCAAAGAAGCAAATATCAATAATTTTTTATAAACTTGTCCAGATATAAGGAGGAGGGGAAGATAGAGAGATGAACCTTAAACACTGTCAAGTAGTCAAACATCCAAAAGCAAAGTCAGGATCTTTAGTACAGAATGCCATTCTAAAGTGTCCAAATTGTATAAAAGTTATATGTTGGAGATTCCTTTTTTTTTTCTTGAGAGGGAGTCTCACTCTGTCGCCAGGCTGGAGTTCAGTGGCGTAATCTCAGTTCACCACAACCTCCGCCTCCCTGGTTCAAGTGATTCTCCTGCCTCAGCCTCCCAAGTAGCTGGGACTACAGGTGCCCTCCTCCACGCCCAGCTAATTTTTGTATTTTTAGTAGAGACGGGGTTTCACCGTGTTGGCCAGGATGGTCTCCATCTCTTGAACTCCAGAAGAAGGTGCTCCCTTCTTCTGAACCATCCTTATAACACTGGCCTCGGTTCCCAGAGTGCTGGGATTACAGGCATGAGTCACCACGCCTGGCCCTGGAGATTCTTAAAGCATGATAAAGTTTACCTTTTAGAAGGATTGATCTGCCTGCACTTTGGAGAAAATAATAAGGAGATGAGGTATAAAATCAAGAGGATATGAGGAAGCCATTGTAATGACCCGGGTAAGAGACAGTGGAAGCCCCAAAATAGAGATTCTTGAAGACTATGAAGAGGTAGGGACAAACTTAACAGACATATAATTCTTGATGGTAAAAAACTGAATTTTGAATTATGAGATTACATTGTCTTGACATCTTAATTAATTTGGATTCCGACAAACAACCACAACAAGTTCAACATTATTCACCAGCTACTTAAAGTAGCTTAAAGTGAAATGGCCCCTCAACGTGAAAAATGCTGGGCTCCGTGGACCACTTTTGGAAATAAATCCTCAAAAGATTGCATGAGAACATCAAGTAAGACATGCCAAGGAAAAGATATGTTAAAGGCAAGTAGCCCATAATTCAAATGATATCTTGAGCAGACTCCAGATACTTATGACATTGGAGGTTGTGTTGATATTTGAGTGTTTAAGATCCTACGTCAAGCTCAGTTTCCTATTGACTTCAAATCTTAGGCTGTTCCACTGAGATAGGCAACATTGTCCCTACACTTGCAAAGGTAGATGAGGAATTCTTGAAATCTTGACTCAAATATTCAGGATTCTGTCAAGGGAACTGGGTTCTATCAATTTTTTCATAGAGATATCCTTGCCAAAAGGGACAGAAGCAAAGAAGTTTCCAAAATATTCTGTTCATTAGTATGGTTGTGCTGTTAATGAATAACTGTAGCTAAGCATCATGTGCCTTGAGGACTGGGATTTGCAGCTTGTCCCTCTGACTTCACATCTACTGTTCACGAGAGGTCCTCCCTTCTTCTGGACCATCCTTATAACACTCACATGTCCCTGTTGCCAAAAACCCTGCATGTGCTTTCAAGTGAGCTGATTGGTCCTCCTTATGCAGTCTTTCTCCTTACTGTAATGTCATTGTTGTATCATGGGGTTCCGTTGCCATGATGATAACAGTAAAGAATCAGCATAGATTACTAGAAATCATATATGCTTTTATGGTGGTCCATATCTGGTTATGGCAAATTTACCCCTAAGTATATACCTAAAGGACCTATAAAAGAGAAACTCTCTCTACTGCTATTTCATTGGACTAGCTCTTTTCTGGAAAATAAAGCAGGAGTCAGAGGAAAGAAGCACATAACCAGGCAGAAGTCAGCGGGAAGGTACAGGTAGTCAATTTCATTCTCTTCTTATTAAATGTATTTTCCAGGAAATATTTTAAGTTACTTCACAGATCCATTAAATCTCATTTTCAACAGGAGAGATAGATGCAAGTAATTTCACTATTCTGCCTTTTTGGCTTCTACCATAAAATAAGTCATTTGTATTAGAGCAGCAATTTCCAAACATTTTTAGGCCATGGACAGCTGCTGTTGGATCTCTGTATTTTGAAAAATGGAAACTACTAAGAAAACTTCATTTATTACATAATTTATTTTATATTTTTTATTAATCTAAATTGTACATGAACTCTCAAAATGAGAGTTTCTGATAAGCTAAATTGGATTTTCTTTTCCTTACATTTTTTGAACTACTAAAACTTAAAAGTTACAAAGGAAAGTCACATATATACAAAATAACTATGAGTGTGTGTGTGTGTATAGCAAAAATAACAAAAAATCATATGCACATATAGTAGGTATATTAGTCCATTTTCACACTGCTATAAAAACTGCCCTAGACTGGGTAATTTATAAAGAAAAGAAGTTTAATTGACTCATAGTTCCAAATGGCCGGGGAGGCCTCAGGAAACTTACATTCATGGCAGACAGTAAAGGGAAAACAAGCTTAGACATTCTCACATGGTGTCAGGAGACAGAAGAGTGAGTAATGAAGAGGGAAGAATCCCTTATAAAACCATCAGATCTCATGAGAACTCACTATCATGAGAACAGCATGGAAGAAACCACCCCCATGATCCAATCACCTCCCACCAGGTCTCTCTCTTGACACGTAGGGATTACAGGGATTACAATTCAAGAGGAGATTTGGCTGGGGACACAGCCAAACTGTATCATTCTGCCCTGGCCCCTCCCAAATCTCATGCCCTCACATTTCAAAATTAACCATGTCTTCCCAGCAGTCTTCCAAAATCTTAATTCATTCCAGCATTAACCCAAAAGACCAAGTCCAAAGTCTCATCTGACACATGTCAAGTTTCCAAAACCAATCATGCCTTCTCAACAATCCCCCAAAGTCTTAACTCTTTCCAGCATTAACTCAAAAGTCCAAGTCCAAAATCTCATCTGAGACAAGTAAAGTTTGTCTATTAATTTGTCATTTATTCTGATCACCTGTGAGCCTATAAAATCAAAAGCAAGTTAGTTCCTTCCAAGATTCAATGGCGTTATGGGAATTGGGTAAATGCTCCCATTCCAAATGGGAGAAATTGGCCAAAACAAAGGGGCTACATGCCCCCCCCCCCACGTCTGAAATCCAGTGGGGCAGTTATTAAAACTTAAGGCTCCTAAATAATCTCTCTTGACTCCATGTCTCAAATCCAGGTCATGCTGATGCAAGAGGTAGGTTCCCACAGTGTTGAGCAGCTCTGCCCCTGTGGCTTTTGGGGGTACAGTCTTCCTCCCAGCTGCTTTCATGGGCTGGCACTGAGTGTCTGTGGCTTTTCCAGGCACATAGTGGAAGCTGTGGGTGGATCTGACATTCTGGAGTCTGGAGGACAGTGGCCCTCTTCTCACAGCTCTACTAATTAGTGCCTAGTGGGGACTCTGTGTGGGGGCTCCAACCCCACATTTCCCTTCTGCACTGCATTATCAGAGGTTCTCTATGAGGGTTCTACCCCTGCAGCAAACCTCTCTGGATGTCAGGCATTTCCATACATCCTCTGAAATCTAGGTGGAGGTTCCCAAACATCAATTTCTGACTTCTGTGTACCCACAGGCACACACCACATGGAAGCCATGAAAGCTTGGGGCTTGCACCCCTTGAAGCAATGGCCTGAGGTGTACAATGGCCCCTTTTAGCCAAGGCTGGGACACAAGGTGCCAACTCCCGAGACTGCACAGAACAGCAGCAGGACCCTGTGCCAGCCCACAAAACCATTTTTTCCTCCTAGGCCTCTGGGTCTGTGATCAGAGGGGCTGCCATGAAGGTCTCTGACATGCCCTGGAGACACTTTTCCCATTGTCTTGGCAATTAACATTAAGCTCCTCATTACTTAGGCAAATTTTTGCAGCAAACTTGAATTTCTCCCCAGAAAATGTTTTTCTTTTTTATCACATTGTCAGGCTGCAAATTTTCCAAATCCTTATGTTCTGTTTCCCTTTTAAGCATAAGTTCCAATTTTAGATAATCTCTCTCAAGTTCAAGGTTCACAGATCACTAGGGCAGGGGTGAAATGTCACCTGTCTCTTTGCTAAAGTGTAACAAGAATCACCTTTGCTCCAGTTCTTAATAAGTTTCTCATCTTCATCTGAGACCACCTTGGCCTGGACTTCATTGTTCACATTTCTATCAGCATTTTGGTCAAAACCATTCAACAAGTCTCTAGGAAGCTGCAAATGTTTCCACATCTTCCTATCTTCTGCTGCACCCTCCAAACTGTCCCAACCTCTGCCTGTTACCAAGTTCCAAAGTCACTTCCACATTTTTTGATATCTTTATTTCTTTTATTTTTTGTTTTTTGAGACCGAGTCTTGCTCTGTCACCCAGGATGGAGTGCGGTGGCCAGATCTCAGCTCACTGTAAGCTCCGCCTCCTGGGTTTACGCCATTCTCCTGCCTTAGCCTCCCGAGTAGCTGGTACTACAGGCGCCCGCCACCTCGCCTGGCTAGTTCTTTATATTTTTAGTAGAGACGGGGTTTCACCATGTTAGCCAGGATGGTCTCGATCTCCTGACCTCATGATCCACCCGTCTCGGCCTCCCAAAGTACTGGGATTACAGGCTTGACCCACTGCACCTGGCTTTGATATCTTTATAGCAGTACCCCAGTCTCTATGGTACCAATTTACTATGTTAGTCGGTTTTCACACTGCTATAAAGAACTGCCTAAGACTGGGTAATTTATAAAGAAAGGAGGTTTAATTGACTCACAGTTCTAAATGGCTGGGTAGGCCTCAGGAAACTTACAATCATGGCAGAAGGCAAAGGGGAAGCAATCTTGGATCTTCTCACATGGTGGCAGGGGAGAGAAGAGTGAGTAGCGAAGAGAGAAGACCCCCTTATAAAATCATCAGATCTCATAAGAATTCACGGTCACAAGAACAGAATTGGGGAAACCATCCCCAAGATCCAATCACCTCCCACCAGGTCTCTCCCTAGACACATAGGGATTATGGGAATTAAAATTCAAGGTGAGATTTGGGTAGGGACACAGCCAAACCATATCAGTAGGCTAGAGAAAATTTGCAACAAATAGAGAAATAATTATCATAATATCCAAGTTGATCAAAATAAAAGACAAATCAATAGATATAAAAGAATGTAAGTTTGAAATTCACTAAAAAGTCTATTGGCAATCGACATATAAGAATATAATCAACTGCACTAATAATCAGAGTAAAGGAAGGTAATAATGAAATTTCATTTCCACACTTAAAAAGAAACACGATATCACATATTTGAGAACATAGAGAAATGAATACTCTCATATATTGCTAAAGTGAATTTCCACAAACTCTTTGTAAAGTATCTGGTGATATTCATTACAATGTAAAACAGATATAACCTTTGATACAGAAATAAGAGTTTTAGGACTCTATCTTATTGAAATAAAAGTATAAGTTTCAAAGACATAGTATAAAGAAAACTTATAGGATCCTTATTTGCAAAGTTGAAAAACTGAAAAGAATCTGAATAACATCAATAAACGAATAATTAAATAAATGTTGGTACTTTTTTGCTGTGAAATAGTATATTGCTATTTGAAATAATGTTTTAGAGTTATAGTTACTGACTTGGAAGGATAACTATGGCATAGTACTAAGAAAGAAAATCAAGTTTCAAAGTAGCCTGTAAGATATGATGCTGTTTTGTGGAAAGAAACAACCCTCATGTGTCTCTATACATATACCTATCTTTCTATGATAAGGGGAGGAAATGAAAATAGGCAGGGGAAGATTATGCATTTTGTTTACTTATAGCTTTATGCTATATCAGTAGTTGCAGCAAATAGAGGTTTGTTGTTAATGTTGTTGCTATTTTTTTAACTGTGGAAGAGAAATGTAATATAATAAAAATATGATCAAAAAGGAAAAAAGAAAACCGTCCAGAGAAAATCTTCTCCCCATTTCTAAGATTCCAAAAACCCCAGATACTGTTATGGGAATCAATGGAATAGATGATTCTGTGTCCCTTTCTCCTTATAAAACTGAGCTTTATATGATTACTGGTTTAAAATTAACTTCTCAGAATTCTTCAGATTGATGCCATAAGCCTACAGCTACTCCATTCTTTCTTAGCAATCTTTCTATGCAGTTGTATTGATTATAAACACTCCTAAAAAGGCACACTTCTCTCAATAATCATTGGATCTTTCTCTGTGAACACAAACTCTGTGATTATAGGTTTCCAGTAAACAATATATTGATTTGTCTAAATAGCACCTGCTTTGACGCGAAACACAAGTTTCCATCTAGTTGGCTTTCACGGAAGCAGCGATTTTTGTAAAATATGACCCCACCACATTTGTTGCAGAGGTAAGCAGAAGACCCCAGCTAAGATAATGAAACCCTTCTTCTAGATATACAGTATTTGGGCCAAAGAGACTATAAGAATAGTCCACTTTCAGTGATAAAACCATAAAATATGAAATGTGTGAGTTGTCAATAACTAGGTTTGCTGCCATGTGATTAAAGCACAACTGCAGGGAAAGTGAATGAAGCAAACCTCCCAAGAAAGGTAAAAACAAAGAGAAAGAGGATCCCGATGGTATTTGAGTCCCTGGTAAAGATGCTTCTCAGGCCTAGCACCACTCAGGAAAATCAACTGATTATTTACTCTTCTGGGTATGACGGCCAGCACAAGTTAAGTTACTATCACTTGTAGTTAAGAAAATATTAACAGCTATAAATTGTATGTTTCATTTCCTTTGAAATGTCCCCAAGAATCTAAGACAGAGTTTGGTTACAGACGTTATCTAAACCATACTAGGCTGGAATAACCTAGTATGGACAGGGAAAAGGCAGAGTTCAGAACTAATATCATCAGAGAAGGAAGCTTGGGCAGTGTGCAGAGAAAGTTCTATATGAAAAATGAAAGAACAGGAAGATGAAAAACATCTTTAAGATGAAGGGAATCTAAGCTGCACAGGGTAAAATTACAGCAAAGAAACCTGATCTTCTATACAAAAAAAAAAAAAAAAAAAAGAAAAAAAATTAAAGAAAACAATTGTGCAAGACTAAACTCAGTAATGCGGACGAGTTTAATACAATACTGAAAAACCTCCTAAAGAGGCAAAGATCTTGGACAGTTAATTATGTTGATTTGTTACTGTCTTTATCCTAGGAAATATTTGGCTAAGTTTACAGATGCTATGTTTTGGATGTTAAAAAACAGTCCAACTCTTTTCTTTTTATCTGTAGTGTGTTTGGACCAATGTTTAGTTGTATATTCCCAAAGAGATCAAGAATATTTTATTAAGTTCTTCAATAATACTGATGCTGGACATAGACCTATTTATATATCCATTCAACAAACACTGATTAAGCACCTATCCTGTGGCAGGCATTGTTCTAGTTCTTACTTGGGATATAATGGGAAGCAAACCAAATCAAGCAAAAGTTTTTTTCCCTAAGGGAGTTTATCATCTGGCAGATGGAGATTAAAAGCAAGCAATAAACATAATAAATAAGTAAAACTGATAGCATGTTTCATGGTTATAAGCATTTTTGAAAAAAAGGAGAAGTTAAGCAAAATAAGGAAAATGAAGAGGGTCTAGTATGTGGAGGGCAAGGAATGTCCATTGTTAAGTAAGGTGGTTTGAATAGACCTCATTGAGAAGGTGGCATTTGACAAAAGAAAGTGAATGAATTCAGCAAAGTCTCAGGATACAAAATCAATGTGCAAAAATCACAAGCATTCTCATACACCAATAACAGACAGACAGCCAAATCATGAGTGAACTCCCATTCACAATTGCTTCAAAGAGAATAAAATACCTAGGAATCCAACTTACAAGGGATGTGAAGGACCTCTTCAAGGAGAACTACAAACCACTGCTCAATGAAATAAAAGAGGACACAAACAAATGGAAGAACATTCCATGCTCATGGATAAGAAGAATCAATATCGTGAAAATGGCCATACAGTCCAAGGTAATTTATAGATTCAATGTCATCCCCATTAAGCTACCAATGACTTTCTTCACAGAATTGGAAAAAAACTACTTTGAAGTTCATATGGAACCAAAAAAGAGCCTGCATTGCCAAGCCAATCCTAAGCCAAAAGAACAAAGCTGGAGGCATCACGCTACCTGACTTCAAACTGTACTACAACGCTACAGTAACCAAAACAACATGTTACTGGTACCAAAACAGAGATATAGACCAATGGAACAGAACAGAGTCCTCAGAAATAATACCACACATCTACAGCCATCTGATCTTTGACAAACCTGAGAGAAACAAGAAATGGGGAAAGAATTCCCTATTTAATAAATGGTGCTGGGAAAACTGGCTAGCCACAGGTAGAAAGCTGAAACTGGATCTCTTCCTTACCCCTTATACGAAAATTAATTCAAGTTGGATTAAAGACCTAAATGTTAGACCTAAAACCATAAAAACCCTAGAAGAAAACCTAGGCAATGCCATTCAGGACATGGGCAAGGACTTCATGTCTAAAACACCAAAAGCAATGGCAACAAAAGCCAAAATCGACAAATGGGATCTAATTAAACTAAAGAGCTTCTGCACAGCAAAAGAAACTACCATCAGAGTGAACAAGCAACCTACAGAATGGGAAAAAATTTTTTCTATCTGCTCATCTGACAAAGGGCTAATATCCAGAATCTACAAAGAACTCAAATTTACAAGAAAAAAAACAAACAATCCCATCAAAAAGTGGGCAAAGGATATGAACAGACACTTCTCAAAAGAAGACATTTATGCAGCCAACAGACACAGGAAAAAAATTTGTCATCATCACTGGCTATCAGAGAAATGCAAATCAAACCCACAATGAGATACCATCTCACGCCAGTTAGAATGGCAATCATTAAAAAGTCAGGAAACAACAGGTGCTGGAGAGGATGTGGAGAAATAGGAACGCTTTTACACCGTTGGTGGGACTGTAAACTAGTTCAACCACTGTGGAAGACAGTGTGGCAATTCCTCAAGGATCTAGACCTAGAAATACCATTTGACCCAGTCATCCCATGGGTTATAAACCCAAAGGATTATAAATCATGCTGCTATAAAGACACATGCACACATATGTTTATTGCAGCACTATTCACAATAGCAAAGACTTGGAACCAACCCAAATGTCCATCAATGATAGACTGGATTAAGAAAATGTGGCACATATACACCATGGAGTACTATGCAGCCAGAAAAAAGGATGAGTTCATGTCCTTTGTAGGGACATGGATGAAGCTGGAAACCATTATTCTCAGCAAACTATCACAAGGACAAAAAACAAAACACCGTATGTTCTCACTCATAGGTGGGAATTGAACAATGAGAACACTTGGACACAGGAAGGGGAACATCACACACTGGGGCCTGTTTTGGGGTTGAGGGAGGGGGGAGGAATAGCATTAGGAGCTATACCTAATATAAATGACGAGTTAATGGGTGCAGTACACCAACATGGCACATGTATACATATGTAACAAACCTGCATGTTGTGTACACGGACTCTAGAACTTAAAGTATAATAAAAATATATATATAAATCATAAAAAAAAACAAAGTGGATGAATGGGCTAAGCAGACTAACATAACCAGTTTGGCTTATACTTTGAACTCTGAGGAGAAGAGTGACATTTTCTTGTAAATTTTAGGATCAGTTTAATTTTTTTCATTAATGCTAGTTAGAATTGTGATAGAGATTGCATTCAAAATACAGATCAATTTGGAGACTATTGGCATCTTAATAGTACTAATTATTCTAATCCATGATCATGGGATAGCTTTTCATTTATTTAATTCATATTTAACACTTTTTTGTAAGTTTCAGAGAACATGTTTTAGAATTCTTTTGTGAAACCTGTTAAGTATTTTATTCTTTTTGATGCCATGGTAAAGACAAATATTTCCCTTGTTCAAGTGATTCTCCTACCTCAGCTTCCCAAGTAGCTGGAATTACAGGTGCCCACCACCACACCTGGCTAATTTTGTATTTTTAGTGGAGACGGGGTTTTGCCACGTGGGTCAGGCTGGTCTCGAGCTGCTGACCTCGTGATTCGACCACCTCTGCCTCCCAAAGTGCTGGGACTAGACGTGTCAGCCACTGCGGCCAGCTGATTATTTAGAAGTGTGTTTTTAAATTTCCACATACTTGTGAATTTTCCAAATTTCCTTTTGTACAGACCCTTGAACAACATGGTTTGAACTTCATGGATTCATTTATATGCAGAGTTTCTTCTGCCTCTGCCACCCATGTGAAAACAAGACTGGTCCCTTCTCTTCCTGCTCTTCATCAGCCCACTCAAGGTGAGGACAATGAGAACAAAGGACTTTATGATAATCCACTTCCACTTAATGAATAGTAAATATATTTTCTCTTGTGATTTTTTTAGTAACATTTTTTTCTAGCTTACTTTATTATAAGAAGTATCTAATACATATAACACAAAAAGTATATGTCAATCAACTGTTTATGTTATGGATAAGGTTTCCAGTCAACACAAGGCTATTAGTAGGTATGGTCTGGGGAATCAAAAGTTATACACAAATTTTTCACTGACTCAGGGGTCAGTACCCATAACACCCACATTGTTCAAGAGTCAACTGTATTTGATTTCATTTCCTTACTGGATTACAATATACTAAGTATGATTTCAATCCTTTCATATATGCTAACTAATGGGGTCTAACATATGCTCTATTCAGGAAAATTTTCCCTGTGTGCTTGAAAAGAAAGTTATTCTGCTGAGGTTAGGTAGAGTATTCTATAGATAATATGTATAGCTAAGTTATAGTTTTGTTGTATTTTTAAATTTCCAACTTTTATTTTAGGTTCAGGGGGTACATGCACAGGTTTATTACATGGGTAAATATCATGTCATGGGGGTTTGGTATACAGATTATTTTGTCACTCAAATAAGAAGCGTAGCACTCAATAGGTAGTTTTTCAGTCTTCATCCTCCTCCACCCTTCATCCTCAAGTAGGACCCAGTGTCTATTGTTCCCTTTTTTGTATCCATGTGTACTCAAGGTTTAGCTCCCACTTGTAAGTGAAAATATGTGGCAATTCGTTTACTGTTTCTGTGGTAATTTACATGGGATAATGGCCTTCATTTCTATCCATGTTGCTGCAAAGAACCTGATCTCATTCTTTTCTATAGCTGCATTGTATTCCATCATGTCTATTTACCAAATTTCCTTTACTTAGTTCATTGTTGATAGGCATCTAGGTTGACTCCGTGTCTTTGTATTGTGAATGGGGGTGCAATAATCATATACATGTATGTGCCTTTATGGTAAGAATGATTTCCATTTCTTTGAGTATATACCCAGTAATGGGATTCCTGTGTCAAACAGTAGTTCTATTTTAAGTTCCTTGAGAAATCACCAAACTGCTTTCCACAGTGGCTGAACTATTTTACATTCCCACTTGCTGTGTATAAGCATTCTCTTTCTTGTACAACCTCACAAACATCTGTTATTTTTTGATTTTTTGATAATAGCCATTCTGGTTGGTGTGAGATGGTATCTTCTTATTATTTTGATTTGCATTTCTCTAATGATTAGTGGTGTTGTGCATTGTTTCATATGCTTTCTAGCCATCTGTATGTCTTCTGAGATGTGTCAGGTCATGACATTTGTCTATTTTTTAATAAGATTGTTTTCTGTTTGTTAATTAGTTTTAGTTCCTTATAGTCTCTGGATTTGACCTTCACTGGATACATAGTTTGCAAATATTTCATCTCTTTCTATAGGTTTTCTGTTTACTCTGCTGACACTTTCTTTTGCTATGTAGGAGCACTTCAATTTAATTAAGTCCCATTTATCAATTTCGTTTTTGTTGCAATTGCTTTTGGAGTCTTCAAAATGAAATTTTTGCCAGGTTGTATGTCCAGAATGGTGTCTCCTGCATTATCTTCCAGGGTTTTTATAATTTTGGGTTTTGCATTTAAGTCTTTAATCCTTCTTGAGTTGATTTTTTTATATGGTGAAAAGAAGGTGTCCAGTTTCATTCTTCTGCATGTGGCTAGGCAGTTACAACAGCACCATTTATTAAATAGGGAGTTCTTCCCCCATTGCTGTTTTTGTACTTTGTCAAAAATCAGATGGTTGTAGGTGTATGGCATTATTTCTAGCTTATCTAACCTGTTCCATTGGTCATTGGTCTGTCTGAATTTGTACCAGCACCATGCTGTTTTGGTTACTGTAGTCTTGTAGTCTAGTTTGAAGTCAGGAAATGTAATGCCTCCAGCTTTGTTCTTTTTGCTTGGAATTGCCTTAGCTATTTGAGCTCTTCTTTATTTCCATATGAATTTTAGAATACTTTTCTTTCTAATTCTGTGAAGAATGTCATTGGTAGTTTCATAGGAATAGCACTGAAAATTTAGATTGCTTTGGGAAGTATAGCCATTTTAACAATATTGGTATTTCCCATCCATGAGCATGGAATGATTTTTTATTTCTTCGTGTCATCTCTGATTTCTTTGAGCAGTGTTTGATAATTCTTGTTGTAGAGGTCTTTTGCCTCCAGGGTTACCTGTATTCTTAGGTATTTTATACTTTTTTTGGGGGGGGGCTATTGTTAATGGGATTGTATTATTGATTTGGTTCTCAGCTTGGACATTGTTGGTGTATAAAAATGCTACTAAGTTTTGTACACTGATTTTGTATCCTGAAACTTTGCTGAAGTTATTTCTCAGATCTAGGAATTTTGGGGAAGAAATTACGGAATTTTCTACATAATTTGATTTCCTCTCTTCCTGCATGGATGCCTTTTCTTTCTCTTGCCTAATTGTTTTAGCTAGGACTTCCAGTAATATGTTGAATAGGACTGGTGAGGATCAGCATCCTTGTCTTGTTCCAGTTTTCAAAGGGAATGCTTTCAGCTACTGCGCATTCAGTATGATGTTGGCTGTAGGTTCGTCATAGATATTTCTTATTACATTGAGGTATGTTCCTTCAATACCTAATTTGTTGAAAATTTTTAACATGAAGCTTGTTGAATTTATCAAAAGACTTTTCTGCATCTATTGAGAAAATCATGTGGTTTTTGCCTTTAGTTCCATTTGATGAATCATATTTATTAATTTGTGTATTTTGAAGAAATATTGCATCCCAGTGATAAGCCTAATTAATTGTGTTGGATTAGCTTTTTAAAGTGCTGCTTGATTTGGTTTTGGTATGCAAGCTTTTTTTTTTTTTGAAGATTTTTGGATCTATATTTATCAAAGGTATTGGCCTTAAGTTTTCTTTTTTTGTTGTGTCTCTGCCAGGATTTGAAATTAGTATGATGCTGGCCTGTTAGAATGAGTTAGGAAGGAATCCCTCCTCCTTGATTTTTTGAAATAGTTTTAGTAGGAATGGTACCAGTATTCTTTATATATCTGGTATAATTTGGCTGTGAATTCACCTGGTCCTGGGCTTTTTCTAGTTCATAGGCTTTCTATTAGATTCAATTTTAGAACTCATTGTTGGTCTGTTCAGGAATTCAATATCTTTCTGGTTCAATCTGGGGAGGTTGTGTCTTTCCAGGAATTTATCCATTTCTTCTACATTTTCTAGTTTGTGTGTATAAAGGTGTTTGTAGTAGTTGCTGGTGGGGGTACGGGTGTTGTATGTCTGTGTGGTTGGTGGTAATGTCCCTTTTGTCATTTCTGATTGTGTTTATTTGGGGTTTCTCTGTTGTTTTCTTTATTAGTCTAGCTAGTTGTCCAACAATCTTATTTATTCTTTCAAAAAAACAAGCTACAGATTTTTTAAATCTTTTGTATGGTTTTTGATGTCTCAATTTACTTTAGTTCAGCTCTGATTTTGGTTATTTCTTGTCTTCTGCTACCTTTGGGGTTGGTTTGTTTTTGTTTCTCTAGTTCCTTGAGGTGTGATGTGAGGTTGTTAACTTGTGATCTAACTTTGTGATGTGGGCATTCAACACTATAAACTTCCTTCTTAACACTGCTTTAGCTGTGTCCCAGAGATTCTAGTATGTCTTATCTTCATTTTTATTACGTCAAAAGAATTTCTTGGACGGGTACCGTGGCTCATGCCTGTAATCCCAGCACTTTGGGAGGCCGAGGCGGGTGGATCAAGAGGTCAGGAGATTGAGACCATCCTGACCAACACGGTGAAACTCCATCTCTACTAAAAATACACAAATTAGCTGGGCATGGTAGCATGCACCTATAGTCCAGCTACTCAGGAGGCTGAAGCAGAAGAATCACTTGAACCCCGGAGGCAGAGGTTGCAATGAGCTGAGATCGCACCACTGCAATCCAGCCTGGTGACAGAGCGAGACTCCACCTCAAAAAAAAAAGAAGAAGAAGAAGAAGAAAACAAAGAATTTCTTGATTTCTGCCTTAATTTCATTATTTACCCAAAAGTCATTCAGGAATAGGTTGTTTAATTTGCATGTAATTTTATGGTTTTCACAGATATTCTTAGTATTGATTTCTATTTTTATTGCACTGTGGTTTTAGAATGTGGTTGGTATTACTTTGTTCTTTTATTGAATTTACTGAGAATTGTTTTATGGCTGAGCATGTGGTCAACTTTGGAGTATATACTATGTGCAGATGAGAAGGATATATATGTTGTTGTTGTTTGGTGGAGTGTTCTTTAGATGCCTGTTAGGTCCATTTGGTCAAGTGTCAAGTATTCATCCTGTATATCTTTATTCATTTTCTTCCTCAAAAATCTGTCCACTACAGTGGTGTTAAAGTCTCCCACTATTATTGTGTGCTTATCTAAGTCTCTTTGTAGGTCTCTGAGAACTTGTTTTATGAATATTGGTGTGCCAGTGTTAGGTGCATATATATTCAGGAGAGTTAAGTCTTCTTATTGAACAGAACCGTTTATCATTATGGAATGTCCTCCATTGTCTTTTTTAACTGTTTTGGGCTTAAAGTCTGTTTTTTCTTAAATTAGGATACCAACTCCCTGATCTTGTTTGTTTTCCCCTTGCCTAGTTTATTTTTCTCCATCCCTTTACTTTGAACCTACGGGTATCATTGCACATGAGATGCATCTCTTAAAGACAGTATACCGTTGGGTCTTATTTCTTCGTCCAACTTTCCACTATGTGCCTTTTATGTGGCGTGTTTAGCCCATTTACATTCAATGTTAACATTGATATGTACGAATTTGATCCTGTCATCATGTTGTTAGCTGGTTGTTATGCAGACTTGATTGTGTAGTTTATTTACAGTGTCAATGGTCTATGTACTTCAGTATGTTTTTGTGGTGGCCAGTAACAGTCTTTATTTCCATGTAGAGTACTCCCTTAAGGACCTCTCATAAGGCAGGTCTCATGGTAATAAATTTCCTTAGCTTTTGTTTGTCTGAAAAGAATTGTATGTCTCCTTCACCCATGAAGCTTAGTTTGAATGGATATAAAGTTTTTGGTTGTAACTCCTTTTCTTTAAGAATGCTGAATATAAATCCCTCAATCTCATCTGGCTTGTAGAGTTTCTGCTGAAAGTTTTGCTGCTAGCCTGATGGAATTCCCTTTGTAGGGAATTCTGTCTTCTCTCTACTTGCCTTAAATATTTTTCCTTTCAGGTTGCCCCTGGAGAGTTTAATGACTCTATGTCTTGGGGATGAATGTCTTGTATGTAGTATCTCACAGGGGTTTTCCGACTTTCCTGAATTAGTTTGTTGACCTCTCTAGCAAGTTTGGGAATATTTTGATGAAAAATATCCTCAGATATGTTTCCCAAGTTGCTTGCACTCTCTCTGTCTTTCAGGGATGCCAGTGAGTCACAGGTTTGACTACTTTACATAATCCTATATTTTTCAGAGGATTTATTCATTCTTTTTTATTCTTTTTCTCTGACTGAGTTGATTTCAAAAACCGGTCTTGGAATTCTGAAATTCTTTTCTTAACTTGACCTATTCTGCTGTTGACATTTTCAATTGTATTATAAAATTCTTGTAGTGAGTTTTTAGTTCTATAAAATCAGTTTGGTTCTTTCTTAACATGGCTACTTCCTCTTTCAGCTCTTGTATCATTTTATTGAATTCCTTAGATTCCTTGGATTGAACTTTGACTTTCTCCTAAATCTTGATGATCTTTTTTGCTATCCCAATTCTGAATTTTATGTCTTTCATTTCAGCTATTTTAGCCTGGTTAGGAACCACCGCTGAGGAGCTAGTGCAGTTGTTTGGAGTTAAAAAGACACTGTGGTGGCCAGGTGCAGTGGCTTATGCCTATAATCCCAACACTTTGGGAGGCAGAGGTGGGCAGATCACAAGGTCAGGAGATGGAGACCATCCTGGCTAACACAGTGAAACCCTGTCTCTACTAAAAATACAAAAAATTAGCTGGCGAGGTGGCAGGTGCCTGTAGTTCCAGCCATAAAGTGCTTTATTTCAGTGAAAACGGGGACATTTTCTACTACAGGAAAAAGCATAGCATAGTGTAAATAGGATTTTGGTACTATCTGTGATTTCAAGTCTGCACTTGGAGTCTTAGAATGTATCCCTGTGGAGAAGGATGAACTACTGTGTGTATGTGTGTGTGTGTGTGTATACATGTATACATATGTGTATGTGTATGCACACACACATATATGTATGTGTGGGTGCATATATATACATATATGTGTGTGTATGCATATATATGTTGGTATCAACAATGGTGGCTCATCTCACACAGCTCTGGGGCACTTTTTTTTTCTCCATTCTGTTTTCTCTCTGATCTTCAGAATGCATAATCTCAATTGTCATATCTTCCAGTTCACGGATTCTTTCTTTGATCAGCTCAAATGTGCTGTTTAACCCCTCTAGTGATTTTTTTTTCTCTTCATTGATTATACTTTTCACTCTAGAAATTCTATTTGGCTCTTTTTATTGTTTCTCTCTATTTATGGATATTCTCTAGTTAGAGAAGCAATTCTTACACTTTCCTTAATGTGTTCAGATTGTTTTATTCTTTGAACATATTTATAACAGATAATTTAAATTCACTATAGTAAGCAAAACATCTGAATTTCTTCAGGGACAATGTCTAATGTCTGCTTTTTATTTCTGTGTGCATAGGCCACATTTTCCTGCTTCTTCACATACCTATTAAATTTGTTTTTTAAAACTGGATATTTTGAATAATATTTGTGGCAACTCCAGAAAATCAGACCTACTCCCCCAAACCACATATTTTATTATTGCTGTTTATTGTTGCTATTGTTGCTGTTGTTATTGATGTTGCTGCTACTACTACTGTTTGTTTAAGGAATTTCTTTATCCAGTTCTGCAAACTCTGTATACTTTGTTATGTTTTACTCCTGACTGGAGTCTCTGCTTGGTTAGCTCAATGATTAGCTAATGATTGAACAGAGATGTTCTTAAATATCTTGAATTAGTAAGTCTCTCATCATTTGCTATGGGACTGTGTGTGTGGTGGAGCACAAAGTCAACACTGAATGCTTACTTTCTGCTTGCAGAGACCCTCAAGCTCAGCAAGAGGTGAAAGATTAACGTCGTCTCAGGTTTTTGCTGCTATTGTTGTTGCTGATGTTTTAATCTAGAGTCCTCACAGCTACCAGGAGTTATGTATACAGTCCCGTAAATACACATGCCTTCTAAATTCCCAGGAATATGTCAGAGCTTTCCAATACCTCGTAGAAGCATCTCATTTCCCAGATTTTCCTTTAAAGTTTTTGGTCAGTCTCTTATTTGCCTCAACTGGCATCCCCACCTTAGACAGTCGTAATGTTAAACAATGGACCAATGATCTTCATCAAATGCCCTGGGAAAAGGACTTTTCCCACTGAATGATCTCTGAGTCAGATCAAACAAAGACAAACCTTGTAAAAAGAAGCTTTTCTAGGGAGCTGTCAGGTGGGTCAAAGAGTGACAGTTCCCTGGGGATAGGTCTTTTTGAGAAACATCCAACCTTTCCTGACCGCTGTAGCAACTGTTAGGCATCTGGACTTTTTCGCTGCCATGGTTATAAGCCCGCTAGTTTTCCGCACTGCTGGGGACCTGGGGATTAGGAGATCGGAATAGAATAAGTCAAAACGCCACATCCCCACTGGTCTTACTAATCTCCAGCCATTTTTCTTAAACAGTCTTCAAACTTTTACAGGCTTTTGGCTGATTTCCAGACTTCTGAAAAAGTTTGACCTCGATAATTCTTGCCACTGTTGCTTTTATAAAGGAGTAGATTTTTGAAGGTCTTTATTTTGCCATTCTGGAATCTTTTTCTCCTAAATATCTTTTAACACACTAGTCTAACCATTCAACTTTAAAAAAATTATGCCAAAGCTTCTCTTTAATTTCTAGATAAGGTCCCAAAAATGACTTACAAAGTCCTATGAAATCCATTCTTACCTATCTCTTAGCCTTGATGAGGCTCAGGAAATAATACCCCAAAGTATGGCGCCTTGGTACACTGAGTACTTTGAACTGAAAAACATTAGAAGGCCATCAGAAGCAACGTCTCTTTCTTACCTCCTGCCTTTCTTTTCTCCTGCTTTCCTTCCATTTCTAAGGCAAGCCCCAGAAACTAGAATCCTCTTCCCCAAAGTGGGTCTTAGAAACCAGAATCCTTCTCCCCCAAAGCCAGCCACAAAACCTAAAAATATTGTTCTAATCTTCCCTGCTTTTCTGTATAAGACCTGGTCATGAAGAAATGTTTTGAATTACCTTGCCTGAAAGTAGATTTTAAGACCCTCATTCCAGAAGGGGTCCTACCCCATAACTGGAAGGAAGAAATGTCACAAAAAGGCCAAGAAGAATTCAAACAGATAGGCCTTGCTAGGTTTCCCCACTGGTCTATTATTATTAGATCATTCCCTTTGTGTCCAATCCCATTTCTATGTGGCTATACAATCTGGATTAATTAAATATGTTCTACTTTTCTCTTGTTAACTTGTCTTTTGTTATAGGAATACCAGCCATGACTCATAGGATGAATAAAACGGGTATTACACCCTTTCCACTCCTACACCCTCAAACTCTATCATTCTTCCCCAGGCCTCCTTCTGATACCTATAAGAAGCCATCTTCCTACCGGCTTTTTGCACAGATTATTCTTTCTCTTACTCCCTCTTTCCACCATTTCTCTCACCAGGCTGATTCCTATCAACTCTCAGGTCTCCTTGTATATGTCATTTCCTAGGGGAGCCTTTTCTGACTCACAGGCAAGATTCAATCTGCATCAAACGCTCTCATGATACCCTGTGTTTCTCCTTCATAGCCTTTATCGTAACTGTAATGAAATGTAATTTGTGTAAGTATTTGCTGAATATTAACAATTTTGATGGCAGAAATTTAATCTGGCTCAGAGGAAAATGGCAAATAAATGTTTATTGAAATGAATAAATGAGTGAGTGAATGAATGCAAGGATAAAAGAAATGCACTATGCAAATATCTGGCTACAAAAGTTGTTCTGTCTTGCAGAAAGTCAGTAAAGAGAGAGACGGACATCATTGAAGTATCCCAGAAACTCCATACAGATAAAAGTCCCTCGTTTTATACATGAGCATACCTTCTTCAGGTGAGCAAGATTGTTTTGCACCAGCTGCCAATCCAGGTTGCAAAGTGCATGAGAAAACTTTATCCATACCCAGGCAAGAGCCCCAGAAATTCTGTAATCATTTGCATTTAATGCAGTCCAGGAGCATAAGTGTTTCTAAAATGCTCTGTAAATAATTCTAATATGCAATCAGGTTTGAGAATCACTCTAGATTAAAAAGTACCTTGTCTCAAGTCTGTTTCTGTCAATCCTCCGGAGTCCATATGGCAAGGAAGTATAATAAGATTTGGGAAAATCATTAGTGATCATCTTGAAAACTATAGAAGGGTCACTATGACTTGTGTGTGTCTCTCAATCAAAAAACTAAAGCAAAGGTACTTTTCACATTTGATGTAACACGAAAAGGTTGTTTCTGAGGAAGAGACAATATGTTTTCTGCTAATAAACTCCAGGGTGGCTTTGTGGCTGTCTTGATTAATTGGTGACTATGAAATAACCAGTGCTCGGGGATACATGAGACAGCAAAGGATTGTAAGTGACAATTTGCTGTTAAAATTCATCGGCCCCTGCAAAGCGCCTTGATTAATAAAGTCACTGTGCTTGTCTCCACGCTGAGGAGGGGGCTCCTGTAGAAGGAAGGGAAAACAAATTTGCAAGGATGCTCTCGCTAAAGAGGTTCGGCACCCGGTTGCATTTAATCTCTCTGCTGTTGCATCAGGCAAGTACCTTCTCCCTCTCAATTATTCACTAGTGCTGCCATTAATCACAGCCCACTGTAAAGGAAAGTAGGGAGGAGGTAGGGGAGACAGAACTCTCCTTCTCGGCTTGTAGCTGGGGAGAATGATTGGTAAGCAGGGGACCCAGGAGGGGAACTGCTGGGTTATGACCAACCAGAGGAACTTAAAATAGGATTTGCAGAGTTGAGCCTCAGCAGGCCACAGCTGGATGCTCTTCTGCCTGCCACAGCCTCTGTGGAGAAGGTTCTTGGTGCAACATCGCCATCTACAGGTAACTGTGAGAACTGCTTTGTGGGAGTTGCTGAGCTCGGGAAACTGCCCTGAAATGAGATCAAGGTAACCCCAGAGGTTTTGCACTAGCCAGGGAAGTAGGACAACATTGGTTTTCATGGCACAGGGCTACCTTCCTTGGTGTTTGGACCTACAGCTTGTCATCCTGCCTGATGTTAAGCTAGTACCAACGTGAGAATATCACGAACAATGGATTCCCATGAGATTTCATGAATGACCCATTTGTTCCTAGAGAAAACAAAACCAAACAAAAACAACAGCTTACCCAAGCTTAGAAGTCTACCCAGTCAGAGAGGTCTGCTACACTGCATTAGACCTTCCTTTGAAAACAGTCTAAGGGTTTCTAAGAGCCATTTTTTCTAAAATCAGTGTTAAAATATTTCTAAACTCAATATAAGGAAAACTGTTTTAATGTTATATGGTTATATTTTTCAGGCACATTTTCCAAGATGCTTTCTGATACATGATGAATGAGAACCCAGTATTGGTACAGCTCAAAACTCTAATATGTCAGAAATGGAAGGGTCTGTTGGGAGTGTATATACTTCAATGTTTCTGCAGTACCCTAGGAGTTTACAAATATGATCCCATTTAATACACACAAAAACCTGTGTATGTGCTGGTATCCCCATTGCATAGATGAGACTAATTCAGAGGAGAAGTCTTAAAGAATATGTCATCTCAGCTCTGCTAATGTGAGCTGTGTGACTTTGAACAGGTCACTTGATCTCTCTGAGACTTCTTTCTTTCTTTTTTCTTTTTTTTTAATGTGTACATCGATGAGGTTGGATGAAAGAAAACAATTTGGGATGCTTGAATATAAGTTGAAAACAAAGAAATACATTGAAGCTTGAGGTCTCTTAGGTCACAAATTGTAAGTGGCTCAGTTGCTGAATAAAATTCAAGTCAACTAGACTATTCTACTCTTGATGACAGCACGAGGGTGGTCATTAATGGACTCAGCCCCTCACCTGATTCATTTCTCTGCTTTGCTATGGGCAGGAGTCCAATAATTCACAGATGGAAGTGTTTTCTACACCCTTGCCTTTGACATGCAGTAGAGAAGAGAGCTTGAGTTTTGAATTTGAGATAGTAAAGAGCCTGTCTGCCTTTCTACCTCGCTGGCATTCAAAGAATACTACCCCACATGGGTGCACATTGTCAACACACAGCCCATTTCTAAGAGGGTTATGCATCAGGACCAGGATATGAGGAGCAACTACTCCCTGGAAACGTTTAAGCAAAGAAAAAAGGCATATTCCAGGAATATTAAATATGATTTTTTTACAGTCTTTTAATAAAGCCACCTTGGAATAGGACATGGTTGACAGCATTTCCCCAGACGGGGTGTTAAATATAGCATTCAAACCAGAAAATTACTCATTGATTTGCCCTGTGAAAAGATAAATGTCTATTCAACTGTGTTCTATCCCAGTGCAGACCTTATTGTTTTTTAGCAAAACAGTCTGAGTGAGTCTCCCTAATGAGGCAACACAGCATGAAAACACAGCAAGCACATGGCACAGGACAGGACGAGAGCCCTTGCCAACAAAATGCAGTACCCCGGAAGGCTGCCCACAGCTCCCGGAAGCAGGGTGTGCATGCCAGCTCAACAAGGTGGCCGCACTACTCCAGACAACAAAATAACAACAGCAGATACACCACCCTGGAGCTAATACACATGGTAAATGAAAACTTGGTCTCAGGAGGGAGCAGAGATAAAAGCTTACAATTCACTGCCCCAGTGAATTGGAGCTTCTGAAATCACTACTGTTTTGGCTTTTGCTTAAAGACAGTTTTCATAACGACAGGTGACTGCCATCTGTAAGACCCTGGCAGACCACATATGCCTAATAATGCTCTCTCATTTTATCCAGTGTTTTACAGCTCACATAGGGATACTGTGTGTCCAAACTCATTTGATTCTCTTAACAACCCTATTAAACAGGTGGTACAGGTACCCACTGCACTGGCTGAATTTTTTTTTTCAGACAGATGCTGTCAAGTATTATTGTACCTTGTATCTATTTGTTCACCTCAACAAGCATATATGGAGGGCCCACTCTGTTCTAGGCACTGGGAGGAGGTGGAGAAGCACAGAGAAGTAAGGGAGAAAGCAGAGGTGGGTCTAATATGGTCTACATGACAACGGTTTCAAGGAACTCCTAAATCTCAGGGGGATGCAGATGGACTAACAGATAACTCCAACTCAATATGGACAGGGCAGAGAAGTGGGGATTCACAGTTCCTAGGGGAAGTGCAGAGGAGTGGTGACTTGACTTATAGGAGTTTTCTGAATTGCAAGAGGACTTATTTAATTTTACAGTTCATTCTGATTCTTAAAAAAATCTAAGAATGATGCAATGATATGCACTTTGGGATCATAGATCAGCTGACATTATGAGATATTTTACTATTGATTATTGTGCTGCAACTAACAACAAAACCTCTAGGTAAGACAAGCAAGCTCTTTGCCTTCCTTTTACTGAAGCTCACAACAGTTGAACGGCTTGTTCCAGGTAACAGATCAGGAATTCGAATTTACTAGGGAATTACTCCATGCTGAGTTCTCATCTGCATTCTACTCCAGTGCTTCTCAAATTGAATGACTATACAAACCTCTTAGGGATTTTGCTAAATTATAGATTGGGGTTCAGAAAGCCTGAAGTGGGGACTAGAATTCAGCATTTCTAACAAGCAGCCAAGTGATACAAATGCTGTTGATGCACAGACCTCACTTTGACTAGCAAAGATCCAGAGGGCCCTAAAAGTGGCTATTATCAAAAAGGAGGTAAAAATCAGAGTACATGAATTATAGCAATGGTGAATAGGTTTTACAGAAATTAGGAGAGAAAAAGTAGAAAATTAGGGGAAAACAATCTTCAAATTTAAGGACAGGCCAAAGGTTTTGAAGACCTAGTACAGCTAAAGGCCCTTAGACAAGATCCAGCACTGTGGTGCCAAACCTGAAGTTCTCAAATCTCTAAGGATCCAAGAAATCATCAGTGAGGACCCTTGAACAAATTTTATATATTCAAAAAATAACTATTTGAAATTGAATATTTATATAAACAAGGCCTCTTTTGTTAATAAAAACATGGACTCATTAACCAGATGTACTACTGCTTTGTCCTTCTATTGTAGTCCTAATACTTATTGTCTATGTTACAGACAATAAGATATATACATCTTTGATTAATTAAAAATAAGAAAACAAATTAGGTATTAATAAATGCAGTTCAAGTAATCAAGGGAGACTAATAGAAGTAATACCTGGTAGGAAAAATGTTGAGAAATAATTCAAACACCTTATTTTATGAGTTTTTAAACTTTTCTTGTTTTATCTTTGGGTTAGTTTGTTTTTTTTTTTTTGTTGCACCGATTTTGCATTAACTTGTACCCATAAATATTAAGTAACTAAGCAAAGGTTTAAAGGTAAGATAATAGAAGAAACAGAAACAGATCCCAAATGTTCTAACTTGAAGCGAATAATAGTTGCCATTTACAAATAACCTATTAAGTGCCAAGCACCTGCATTACTTATCACATTAAATCATCCAAAAAAAAAAAAAAAGAAAACTAAAAGGAAAGTAATTTTGTATTACTATTTTACAGACCAAGAATCTCAGCCCCAGAAACATGCAGTAACCTGCCCAGAAAAATACTCAGCAAGTAAAATGCTTCTTCAGCAATGGATCTTAAGTCTTGGCCCCAAAGCCTATCCTTCGAATCCAAGTTGTAATTCTCTCAAGTTGCTGTTAGATTCCAGGATCCTCATACTGTATATTTGACCACTGAGAAGAAATTACTGGTTTATTTATTTGATCTAGACTTTCCAAAAGTGCCTGTGAAGACTACAGAAAATATAAATAAACAGCCCCAATATTTCCCTCAGCAGCCTACTAGCCTTTTGCCATTTCTCTTAAAGACTCTGAAACTTGCATTCCCTCAGACACACAGAGGAGAGGCACTAATCTCAGCATGGATGAATGCAAGCCTAATTATCTCTCTTTTGCCCTAAGAGTGCAACAGAACAAACACAATGTTAGGACTCCAATAAACCCAGATTTAAATCCAACTCCCCATGTACTGACTTGTGATCACTGACCATTCACTGACACCTCTGAACCATTTTTATTATCTGATAAAAGAAAGATAATACTGCATTTTTCATTGGATGGTGGTGAGGATTACATAAACTTAAGTAAGTAAGGCCCTTAGCACAGGTCAAGTACCAGATAAATACATGAGTAGCCCTTATCAGATTGGGTGATTATCACCTTGGAAATCACAATTTGCTTTTGGCTTGTCTCAGCCAAATCATGGGCTTCTGACAGAATCCATCCTTTTCTTTCTAAATAATTCAAAATGGTTTCCCTGATCTTATTTCAGGGATATTCTGAAATGTTGAAGCTGGGTGCCCATACATAAATGACAGCATTCATTCTGAAAATAAATGTGACTTTGCAAAGACCACTAATGTGGTCAGAACAGAACTGGTGTGGCCAACTAAAAGGTGACCTCCATTTCTCAGAGGAAGTATCAGACTGGATGTATCCTAATTTGGACTTCATCTTTCATCACTTTTCAGGAGGGTGAGAAGGAGAGTCTGGTGAAGTCATTCGTTTTTGCCCAATCATGTTTTGCTTACCTCACTCACTCCAGGGAAAACACACAAACAAATAAAAACATCAGTTTTCTTAGCCAGCTCACACTTCAAATAAAGTATGAAGAAGGGAACAGTACTTATAGTGCCAAATTGGTCATACTGTGTCATCGTGGAGGTGTAATGACCTCCATAGATTACATCTATGGGTGTAATCTAATGCAAAAATCAAATGGGTGAAAAACTAATATTTGTAAATGAGTGATAAAGGGTAGACAGTGAAATAAAGGAATGCGACCCTTTCTTTAATAACAGAGAACAATGTTTTTGTTCAAGAAACTAAAAAACAAAAATAAAGAAAAGAAGATCTGGGGGAGGGGAGAAACACAACTTTAATTTTTAAATACTCGGTGCTCAGTGAAACCAATTGATGCTTTTGATTCCTTTACTCTATTTAGATTCTCCTTGCACAGCCATCATCAGACCTCCCATACTCAAACAGACTGACAAATACTGATTTTTAACTCCACCAGTGAGGGGCTTCTTATTCTGCTCCCAGAGAACGCATGTGTGAAATGAGTTTTGCAAGTTGACTCAAGTCAGTCCCAGCTGGGTCCGTTCTCCTGCTGAAAAGGCAAGCCCACAGAGGCATCCTGGCTTCCAGCAAAAAGTGATCTGCCATCCAGCGCAGCTATGGCTCTCTGGGAAGCTAATGCATTTTCTAAGACTCAGGTTGCTCTGCAGAGTCAGAAAAAGACCTAAAGAACCAGGTCTGAGTAGAAAGATATTTGAATTTGGAGAGGATGAACCACAAGGAAATTAGAATTTTCTTCTCAATGTGGTGAAGAACTGGCAAGTCCACCATGACTTGACTTGGCTCACTTCTACAGCCTCATGACAGCACTTACACTTGGAGCTCTAGCCAAATCAATTACTCACAGATCTTGAACAAGCCATGATCTCTCTCATCCTCCAGGCTTGCTTAAAGGTGGCATCTTCAAAACCCATTTCCTTATAGCAGCACTTGCTTATCCCATTGTATCATAAATACCTGTTAACTTACTAGTATTCTCCATTATTTGGAGAGTTATTTGAATGTGATGTACTATAACTTTTCCACTCTTGTGCCTTCAGTATCTAACAATAGGCATACATTAATGTTTTTGATTGATAATAAGTGCATAAATAAATAAAGGAATGGAAAAAAGGCAAGACACCATTTCCAGCCTTGTCTATCATTAGTAAGCTATTGTAAACATATTAAGCTATACCATTTAATGAGTTTACACTTTGTGCTAGTAACAAGCTAAGTGCTTTATACAATATGTCTTTTCATCTTCACACTACTATTGTGAGAAAGTAAGAATTATTATCCCCATTTAAGCAGAAAAAATAATAATTAGGGGCTCAGGAAATTGAGAAAATTATAAGTCTACACATTTAGAAAGTAACAGAATTGAGATTTGCAACATGATGTGCTGTCTCCCTGTGATGCTCAAGATTTGAACAAATGTTGGGAATTCTCAGGCGTTGGGTGTTTACATTGCTCTATTGGAGCCATTCATTATACCATTCATTATATTAATAGTGAATAGTCACCTATTTTTGCATCCATTCTGTAAGTATTTATTTATAATCTACTTTAAACCAGACTCTGTACTAGGTTTTAGGGGATACAAAAAAATGAATAACACTCCTTGTTTTCAACCTGCTTGCAGTTTAACTGGAAAGATGATAACCCAGAGAGTTGCAATATAACTTAAGCCCCTCAAGAGCTATGTGAGGTAATAGAAATTTTGAAAGAAAATGATCACCAATATAGCCTAAACCAACCATTTAGTCTCTTTTCATCCGTCAAATAGCACTCCACTCCCTCCAGCAGCAGCAAGAAGTACCCTATCTATTTTTTATCACTTAAAAATGTATTTTGATCATGGTACTACCTGCTGAAAAACAATCAGTGACCTCATTGTCAAGCAAACAACTCTAAACTTCTTATTAACATGCTATAACTTGTTCCTACGTACATTTCCAGAGTTATCCTCTGTATTGCTTCTTAAAGTCCTCACTGGTTCCACACCATTTTCTAGATATATCCTCTGCATCTTTGTTCTAGCTACTTTCACTGGGGTTAGATTTATTCTATTTAGGCTTTTCTGCTAACTATAGTCTTTCTTTTCCTGGACACTTCTAAAACATTTTGCTTCATGTAGGTATCTCCTTTCTTATACAGCTTTGTCAGAAAATATTGAATTATCCTTGGTTGAAATTAACCAGTTATATGTCAGACTTCTGCTCTAGTCTATGAACATCTTAGTAGTCACAGTTTCTTGTTTATCTGTGTATTCTCCATGTCTAACACAATGACATATGCTGCGTACCCAGTAAATGACTGCTAAAATGAATGGACTGACCAGTCTTGTGTAACATTCACTTGTTCAAACATCCTATCTCCCATTTCATTTGTAAGATTTGTGAGGGCTGAGACTATATATATTTGCATCTTGTATGTTCACCTCACCATAGTTTCCAGAACAGTCCTTGTATATAGAAAGTACCAAGTAAACATTCATTAATGAGTAAAAAAATAATTTTCCTGGTAGGAGTGATTTTGTGGATTGTATTCATTGGGGCAATTCTTGTACCTAGAAACGACAGATGTTCAATAAGTGTCTGTTAATTAAATGGATAGCTATTCGCAAATACTTAGCCAGGAAATATAATGGACATACTGTTTTGCCCCTCCTGCCCTGCTTTTCTGGCAGTTTCTCCACTTCTCATGTGATAACTACAGAAGTAGCCAATTTCTAAAATGTGTGACTTTTTCCCACATTTTAGAATGTGGAGTTGACGGACCCTTAAACCAGAGGAGACACCGTAATCAAACTGCTAATCATAATAGCTCTTCCTTAAAATTTTTGGACTTGGGACACTAGAATAAATTAAACCAGAACTGTTAGATAAAGAAATTAAATATAGAGGGAGTCATGATGATCCTGAAGTCTTTGAATACAATTTTTCCTTAGGTTCAGTTCTTTCCTCAGAGCCTGTTCTTTCTATGATGTAGTTGTGCTATATGACATTTGGGCAAGCATCCAGTGCATCTCTTTTGTTTAAACTTATTCAAGATAGATTTTTGTCACTTGCTTCGGAAGCAACCTTAATGATTGCAGAGACCATTCTGATAAAAGACTCAGGTGATGATAGAGCCTGGAAAAAACAAGAATAAGTAGCACTAAATTCCACAAGAGCGCTATAGACATTTATTTATGAATTTTCCTTTTTTTTCTTTTCTTTTTTTTTTTTTTTTGAAACGGAGTCTCACTCTGTCGCCCAGGCTGGAGTGCAGTGGTGCAATCTTGGCTCACTGCAAGCTCCGCCTCCCAGGTTCACACAAAAGGCAAGCTTTAAAGACTCAAACAATAAGGAAATCTATTGACAGGCTGTCTGACCAAATAAGAAACAACATGCCAGTTTCATTAAGAAATCGCTAGAAAATAAGGAAAGGAGAGCAGGCCAGTCATACCAGTGGTATTCAAATGAGCAATAAGAAGTAGGCCAACTGGATTTAAAGTTGAACAGAATAGGGTAGAGATCAACACTAGGAACTTATGTAACAGCACAAATAAATAATTTCCTTCAATTGTTCCTTCCATTGTCCTTCCTTCCTTCCTTTCTTCCTTCCTTCCTTCCATCCTTTCTTCCTTCCTTCCCTCCCTGCCTTCCTCCTTCCCTCTCTCCCTCTTCTTCCTTTCTCCTATCCTTCAGTGTGTGTATACATATGCATATATATTTGTGTGTATGTGTATAATCTATCATGATAAATATATATAAAATCTATCATATCCCAGGCACACTAACGCTAAAGTTATGGAGAATAAAGACTCTTTCCTTTGCACAGGAATCTTCCTAATGTTAGAGAGATGACAGTCTGTTGTGAGAGGTAGAATACATTATGATAGGTACTAGGTACTATGGCTCAAAATTGCATTATGAGAATGTAGGTTAGTGGAACCAAGCCAGTGAGAAGGTTCTGTAGATTGTTTCACTGACAATGTAATGCTTGAGAAGTCCTCAAAGATGAGTAGCATTGTTATAGGATTTATGCAATAAATTAAAGGATGATTTAATATCAGAAAATTTATCAGTGAAATCCACCAATTAATAACCTCATGGAAAAGTCACAGTTTTGCATCAATAGACACAGAAATGGCATTATTAATGTCCAATACCTATCTATGCATAGTAAGAATTTCAAGAAAAGTAGTAACAGAAGGGAACTTCCTCAACCTGATAAAGGGTGTATACCCAAACCCATAAGCCACTAATCTTTATATAGAGATATATTACATGCATTCTCTTCAAGATCAGAAATCAATTAGGGATGCCTGACCAGGCACTTCTGTTCATCACAGTGTGTCCTGGAAACAGTAGCAGGGAAATGGGCTCATTAAATGTAGCAAAATAAAGTTAAAAAAAAATAAAAGATGAGTAGTATTTACTTGTGCAGAGGAGAGTGCTGCAGGTAGGCGAGGGCATTCCAAGAAGGGTAACAGTGTCTACAAAGTCATGGCAACTGGATAGAGTGTGACATATGCAGAAGAGGTGAAAATTCTCTCAAGCTTATGTTTTAGTAGGATAGACAAGTAAATCAATTATTGCAATGTTAAGTCCTTTGACAGAAACAAGTATATGTTGCTGTTGAAGACGGAGAAAGGAAAACCTCCTTAGCCTGCTGAGGTGGTTGAGGTTATGGAGAATTCCTGGGGGTTGGGGGAGGTGACATACAAATGAGTCTTCAATGATAAACAGGAGATATTAAAGATAGTAAGGAAAGATTTTTCTGTAGAACCAACAGTATCCGAATAGATATTAGCAAGCCTGATTCATTTACTAACCAGAGTGAACAGTACTTTCTCTCTGTCCCAAAAGCAACAAGGAGGAGAAGAGTCTAATTTCATTCGTGGCAGTAATATTGTCTTCCTAGGGAAGCTATAGTCTAAAAACAAGACAGCTGATTAATTACAGAAGCCAGGATACCAGAGTAAATAAGGTAAACAGGCAACATGAAAGGGAGCAAATAGGACATGACACTTGCCCATCATGCTAAGAAGCAATAGTGAGAACAGGGAGTGGCGAAGACTATGATAATGTGGAGAGTGCAGGCCTGTCCTGATATAAAGCATTCTTCAATTCCAAACAATTGTCATGTACAGACATGACCGCAAAGTTTCTAGACCTTTATTATAGCCTAGCAGATTCAGATTATGGTGTGTATGTGCACACGTACATGAGTGTATCTGGGTGTGTAAAAAATTTCCTAATATCAATTTACCAACTTAACAGTCTATGGGATGACACTGTGAATTAAACCAAACATTTCTGCAAGTCCAAGATATGCCAGAATCCTGTAGCTTGTGATTTTTAAATTAGAACTTGGATGGCAGACATGTTAAACATGTACTTCACTAATCTGCCATGTATTTTGATTTAAACTTCATAATCAATTAGTATATGGTATAATAATTTTTAATCTTTTTTTCTAAAGGAAAAGCCATAAAATGTATCTTTTCCCATTTATTTATGTCCTTAGATCTGGCCTGGACTGAGAATTACATCAGAATTTAATGTTAGTATCAAGTAGCATGTAGTATAACAATTTTCTATCTTTTCTTAAAAAGAAAAGCCATAAAAGTTGATTTTTCCCATTCCCGTAGGTCCTGAGACCTGAGCTGAGTATTACATCATCTGCTAGAGAAATGAAGGAGTCATTTAGTGTCGTCACCCAGCAGTTAGTGCCATTATGTCTAATTACAGATCAGAGGAAATATGTAGCTGAAGAAAGTAGAGAAGAGAATGAGACAAGAGAAGAATCCTTGTAAGTGCCTTCTTCCTTCTTAATCTTTCTACTTATGCTCACCTCTCATGCTTCTTGCTCTATCATGTACTTATTACCCACTAAATACTATTTACATAGCAAGGAGTCTTTGTCACCACCATCGGCCTCCATGGAATACATAAATATTTCTTGTTACTGTGTTAAAAAGAGATTAAGTAGAACAAATGTTATAGCTATAAACACTAAGGCTCAGAGAAATTAATGATACCTAGCACTTATACAATGCTTTTAGTCCTCCAAGTGTCTTTATATATCTTAACTTATGTGACATATACGATAACATTTTGCATAGATGAGGCAGGATACTATCATCCTCATTATGGAGAAGAGAAAACTGGTGTTTTAAGCAAGTCACAGCTCCATTACAAGCTACCTTACCTCTGTAGGCCTCAGCTTCAATCTTGAATTAGGAAAAATAATATAACTTATTTAACAAAGTTAGTATTTTGAAATTCATAAGAGATAATTCATGATGGTCTAATTCCTATTTTAATTAATATAAGACCTCAGAAAAATGAGCTGTTTTTGCCTGATTGTTGTTATTGTGATGCTAAGTTAACACTAATTACTCCCATAGATCAATCTAGGAATCTCAGCCGCTTAACCCATTTATATAAAGTTCAGTTGGCAAGCTGAAGATGGCGAGAGGCATAGGGAGAGAAAAATGTACCATGTTCTACTGAGGGATCAAGATTCCTCTGTCAATCTCTAGGCTTTTGGGGTTCCTGGAAGGATTACTTGACTTACAGCTGAGGAAAGTGGGAGAGAGAATGAAGAAAAATTTTTATAGTCCAAGCCTCAGAATGGCTTCATTTCTTCCACCTACATTCCATTAATCAACACTGAATCAGACAGTCAAACTAACTGCAAAGGAGATTGGAGAATGCAATCTATTTCCTTAGGAAGAGTAGAGGATGGATTTACATGAACATAGAGCAATCTATGTCACATTAAGTAACTTTCCCCATGCCACCCAGATGATAACTTTGAGAGCTAGAGCTTAAAAGCAAATAATCTGACACTGGGTCCCCAGTTCTCCCCTCTACAATTGCCCAAGGTCATACTGTAAAATAGAAGCCAGTGGTCCTGATTTTGAATTTCAGGATCTTTTCTCCCACCCTTTGTGGCTGGCAAGATCATGTTGACGAACTATGAATGGTTGGGTACTTTCCATCAATTTGCTGTGCTATATTACAAGTGCTCTGATAGCTAGTACATCCACTAAACTAGAAACCCAACCTTTCTCTTTTCTGATGGCTGAGACAGCTGAATGGCCTTATTCTGTACCTGCTTTATGCTTCCCCTGGCTGACAGATAGAACTGGCTATTCGTTTCTTTTAGATGAGAGCAATTTAGAGCAACAACTAATTGAATAGGGAGTGTTTATGTGTGTGGGATTTATGGTATGAGGTCACAGTGCTGCATCATTTTTCTGCATGCTGAATTTGAAGATAATTGAGCTATTTTTCAAAGCCAATGGAGTGTGGTTTTACCAAGAGGCATTGGTCACATCCAGATTCTTCTTTACCTGATCTGAACCCTGGCTTAGGTGCCTCCTTCACTCTTGAATAATGTCAGGTTCCTTGTCTCCTGGGAGATGGATTTACAGTAATTCTGAGAGAAGTCCTTCTAGGATCCTCAGTATAAACTCAAAGCGTTGGCATGTCTATGGTCCAGGCCAGAACATGTCAAGGCACAATCAAAGTGCATCTGTCCTATTGGTATTGTGCTTGCTGTCACTTAGTGGAGCCAAACCTGCAAAGCCTGCCTGAGACACACAGCCACTTCTTCCCAGACACAAAGCCTCTGATTCCAGGAATTGCCTCTGAGGAATCTGTCATGCCAGTCCATAAGCCACTTTCTCTTTAAATCTTGGAAACTGAGAAACCACCATCTTGCACGATATATTTGGGTTTCTTTCTAATCTTGAAACTTGTTAAGGAGACAATAGAGATTAAGCTCTAAAGGCAGACAAAACTGGTTTCATATACTGGTTTTACCTCGTAGTCACTATTTAAACAGGGGTTGGCTTAAGCCTATGAAATTCTATTCCAGCCCACCACGTATTTTTGAAAATAAAAGTTTATTGGAACCCAGACACACTCGCTTGTCTCCGTATTGTCTACAGCTGCTTGTGCACTACAACCACAGTGCAGAGAAGTTGAGACAGAGGACTCATGTGGTCTGCAAAGCCATCAATATTTATTGTCCAGCATTTTACAGAAAATATTGTGAGTCTTTCATTTTCTCAGCTGCTACATGCAGATAATTATGTCTAACTCAAAACTGTGGTAATAATTAAATAAAATAATGTATGTAAAACATATAGGGCAATGCCCAACACAGTACAGATTCTCAGTAATTAGTGGGTTCCTTCAGTTATTTTGTATTGGGGTACATTTATGTGGCTGGAGTGCAGAGGCTCAGTGACAAAGCCAAGAAAACATATACAGGAGCAACACTCTTCAAGGGACAGCCTTCCCCATGGACATTTAAAATACAGGATAGTCACTCAGCTCCCAAACTAAAAGAACAAAGGAAACCACATCCCTACTATCAGATGTGCTCCTGCAGAAAGTGGGGAGATCAGAAAGGGGGACCTCCATCATTCTGACATCACCATTACAAGGTAAATCAGCCCATTCTACTTTTTTTTTATTTACCTAAGAAAGAAGTAAATAGCAATCTTACACTTGTCTAGGGTGCTGTTTAAAACTTCCCCCAAACAACTCATCTTACTCTGGAATGCATTAAAGGCATCCTTACTTCCACAGAGAACCAAATCTCTTCTGCAATTTGGAGGAAAATTTAGTATTCTCAGTGTTCTAAGACTGACATGTCAGTTAAAAAAATATGTGTGCCTCTAGATTAAGTAGTTTGTTGATATTATAAAATCTCATTCTCTCAACAACTCTTCCAGATGAATGTTATCATTCTGAATTTACTGATTAAGAGACTGAGAGACAAAACAACCATTCCAGTTTATGCGACCAGTTACAGATACAGTTAAAATCTTAGGACCATTTGACTTTCTTCTCTCAGTTTGTCTAATCTTTGCAAAGGTGGTGATGTCGGGAACTATGAAAGGACTGAATTTTAACTGAATCAAAGGAGCATTACCACTGAACAGTTACCAAGAGGAGAGAAGGCACAAACTATACAAATACACTCTGAATAGCAACTAAAAATATTTTAAAATATTTTCTATAGGATTTCTATATCTCTCCTATGTCTCAGTGAAAGCCTGGTGGAAAAGCATTGGATCTGAAGTGAAAGGTCCTGGACTCTAGTCTTGAAAAAGCCATTTGCCTTCTCTCAACTTGTCTACTTGTAAATGAGAAACTTGAATGGTCTTTCCAGTCACTTGATCTGAATGTTTACGATGCTTCCCAGAGAGCAAGTTTTAGTCACTTGGGACCAATGTCCAAATGTTCAGTACCTAACTGTGAGCATGACCCAGAGTACCTGCCACTGGGAAGGAAACACACACACACACACACACACACACACACACACACACACCTTTTCTGTTTGATTAAAAAAATTAAAATTAGAAGAACATAGTAGGAGAAAACTAAGCTTCATTAAAGTGCAGAGCTGGGTAGAGATCAAGGGAGAAAACAGAAACAAACAAGATATTTGCATAAGGTTTCTGACATTGATTGGACATAAAATATACATAAAAAGATAGTAAAAGAATTGAAAGAATAGCAACTGATAAAAGCAAAGAAAAGCTTAATCAAAATACGTGTTTTTGAGTGTATATACACACACACACACACACACATACACATCCTCTATGAGCAAGTGGCTGAAGAAGAAAATAACAATTCCAGGTTATTTCTGAATCCAAGCATCTACTTGAAGAAGGGAAGTAAAGAAGATGGGCATATCTAACATTTACCAAGCAACTATCCTATGCCAGACAGGGGATATAGCCTACTTCCATGACAGAATTTGCTATAGCAGCCTACTCCATCTCATCTTGGCACCTACATGTAAATAGCATGATTATTTCTGTTTTATAGAAGCAGACACTGCACACAGAGGTGAACTAGTTTGCCCAAGACCACACTATGAGTTAGTCGTTAAACCCAGCATTAAATCCACATCCAGTTTTAGTTCTTTCCTCTTATACTTTTCAATTGCAAAGCAATCCCAGCCTTCATCATATTATTCTATCATAATTTATAAATAGGAGAATAAGGAGGGCAGATATTAGTTTCTCATTTTTTATAAAGGAAGAAGCTCATGCTTAGAAAAATTAAGCAACCTGTCTAAAGCCACATGCCAAGTAAAAGGGTGGTGTGAATTCCAAAATTCTGACTCATAAATCAGTGCCTTTGTTACCATTTTAAGATGAAACTCTTGACTCTTAATGTCAGCCTTTTACTGTTGAGAGGCATATGTCACATGGTTCAGAGAATGAGTTCTAGGGTTACATGAATCGGTGTTCAAATCTGGGTTGCAACATTTACCAGCTATTTGGGAAAATTGATTAATTATTTCTTCCGTACATTAATTTGTCACATTTACTACAAAGAATTTTCATGAGAATTAAGCAATTTAATGTGACTGACCAGCAGTGTAGGCTCAGTAAAAGGTTGGCGGCTATCTTAGGCGGAGGTCTTCAGAAGCAAATCATGAAAACAAAAGTGTGTGCTCCCAGGAGAGAACCAGAAGGGAGTGGGAAAGTGGGACAGGGAAGAAGAAGGAGCCAAGCAAAGATGCACTTACAGGAAAATTTCCAGGTTCAGTCTGATCCTTCAGGCGAAGACTAAAGTATAAATTGCACCTCAGTTTGCCATCCCTCCCAACCTCCCAATACCCTCTTAAGTCGAGGAAGGGAAATGAGCTTTCATACTTATGCATTATTCAGTCATTCAATAAAAAACATAGCAGATGTGGTAGGAAAAAAGGAGCTGCAAAAAATCATAGGACTTTCTATTCTAGTGTATACACCCACAGGCAAAGCAGCA